TATTTTTTCACATTCATCCAACGATATGCACAGACACGGCAATTGGGCACTTTGACTCCTTGCGTAGGTACCAAATCCAAGACAAAACTCAAAACCACCCAACTCACTATCCAGACTCATAGACTATTTATCCCTTTTCAACTTTCCACCGTTAAATCATCCTTGTATTATAAAAGAAATTTAATAATGTATATGATGCATGAATTTATAAATTCTCATTTTCTCCTAAAATGATTTTAATGCGCGACAATTTAATAGTTCACATGTCAACAATGAGAAAATTCTTCAATTCATAACCATTAAACATTTCTCACATCAATAATGAAGAATGCCTTGTAAGCAATTCTCATGATCACCAAGGGTCATATAGGTGAAGAGCTTCAAATCTTGCATTCCACCGTTAAAGTTAAGTAAATACATTCAATTTTATGTTTTTGAAACCAATTGAGCAAAACCCCTCTTTATTGAATGAGTCTCAAAATTAAGGTTTAGGAAAAATTGGTGGTTTTCTCTCAAATGTACAAATTTGAGGTGCACTCTCATCATCACATCTATAATCTTCAATAATAAACATGATTTCATCCATAATCATAGAATATCACCACATTTTTCCAAAATCACTTATTAACAACACAATTTATACATACATACATATATACATATATATATATATATATAGACAACGTGAATAGCTAATGAAATTACCACATAAGTGGTTCAAATTGAAGATATAGCAAGTTAAAGACACCCCCACCTCGAATGTAAAAGCTAGGGTTGTGAATCACACTCGAAACTTCGATGATCTAATGAAATAATTGGTAGAAGTGTTGATCTAGACTTTCTTTCAACTTTCCTTGGATGATTTTAAGGGAATCTTGGTTTAATGTTAGAGAAATCTAGGGTTTGTGGGTTAGGTTTTTCAGAAAAATAGAGTTAGAGAGAAAAATGGTCTGAAAAGTGGAAAGAAATGAGTGAGGATGGACTTTTAAAAATCTGTTGTCCCGACTGACCACTCAAGCGCAACTTCCTTCTCTTGAGCAAACAGCAAAAATTCAAAAGGGTCGCTCGAGCAATATTTCTTACGCTCGAGCAAAAAATGAGAGGTTCTAGAAGTTTTGCAGAACTACAGTGAAATTACTGAAAACAAACATTCTACACTCGAGCGACAACTCCTACGCTCAAGCGATCCGCCTGCAAAACTACCAACTACTGCGCGCTGAAGATCTACGCTCGAGTGACAAAAGCGTCGCTCGAATGGCCTGAAAAACCCAAGTGTCAAAGCCTACCCTCCTTGTTTCGCCTCTGAAATTTTGATAATCCCTGCCAAAAGCAACTCCAGCAATTCCTAAGAAGACAATTACTACTCTTGTAATATCTCTAATCATCATAACATTATCACAACACAATGATTCAAATTATGAATAACTAAAACTCGTGAACTTCTTATAATTACAACACATATTACCCACCAAAAAGTTTATTCACATTCATTAAACATTGACATCACAAAGTCAATAAGATTACACATTTCTAAACAACTTAGGATATTTCTCTCGGACTTCCACTTCTCTTTCCTAAGTGACTTCTTCTATTCCGTGATGGTGCCATAGTACTTTGACTAAGGAAATCATCTTGCCTCTCAATACTTGTTCCCAGGAGTCTAGGATCTATATGGGTTTTTCCTTAGAAGAAACATTTTCATCTACCTCTAAGTTCTTTCAGTCTAGAATATGAGAAGGATCTGGCTCATATTTACGGAGCATTGAGATGTGGAACACGTCATGTATCCCAGATAACTATGGAGTTAAAGGCAATAAGCAACTTCTCCTACTTGTTCAATGATATCAAAGGGACCGATGAATCTGGGCGATAAATTTCCGCTTTGGCCAAAGCTCATCAAATCTTTCCTAGGAGATATCTTCAAAAATACATGGTCACCTACTCCAAAGGATAAAGGTCGTCTCCTTCGATCAATGTAGCCCTTTTGCCAACTTTGCGCTATAGTTAACCTCCTCCAAATGAGAGCTATATTTTCTGTGATCTCACGAACTAAATCTAGGCCAAGCATGGGTGAATCTCCTATTTTAGTCCAACATGCAGGAGATCTACATGGATGCCCGTACAAAGCCTCAAAATGTGTCATCACAATACTAGCTTGAAAATTGCTGTTATAAGCAAACTCAGCTAATGGTAGATATTTCTCCCATGACCCTTTGAAGTCTAGTACACAGGCCCTCAACATGTCTTCTAAGATTTGAATTGTACACTCAAACTAATCACCGATTTGAGGATGGTAAGTAATGCTAAAGGTCAATTGAGTTCCCATGACGGTTTGTAAACTTTGCCACAATCGTGCTGTGAAGCGAGGATCTCTATTCGAGACAATACTCATCGAAACCCCGTGAAGCTGAACAATCTCTCAACATATAATTCTGCTAGATAATCAACTGAGTCATCCATGCACATTGTAAGAAAATGTGTCAATTTCGTCAATCGATCCACTATGACCCAAATAGCGTCATTACCTTTTTGAGTTTTACAGAGACCCGAAACAAAGTCTATCGTAATGTGCTCCCATTTCCATTCTGCTATAGGTAATGGTTGCAATAATCCGGCTGGCCTTTGATGTTCCGCCTTGACTTGTTGACAAGTTAGACATTTTGACACAAATTGGGCTACATCTTTCTTTATGTCCCTCCATCAAAATTGACGGCTCAAGTTACGATACATTTTTGTACTTCCAGGATAAACAGTAAAGCGGGAGTGATAGAAGTCTCGTAATACTTCCCTACAAGATTGTGTCGAAGCCAACACAAGAGATTAACACATTTACAAATGTGTCCAAGCTAACTCACTCACGTCCTAATGCAGTGGACAACAGGTAATTCGCTCCACATAAGCACATAATCACATAAACACATACGAACTTCCTTTCTAGATAATGATCGTCCCGCGACGTTGCCAAAGTTCTAGTTAGAAATATCAGTGATCAAGTGCTCTTCTAACAGGACTTCTAGAAACTCGTAGACCCAATCAACATCTTAGAAATTAAAGTCCATACCCATTTAGTCACATAAACATGTTATCACATAGCATATCAGGTTATTTCTAACACAGTTAACGAGGTAACCCATTGTGGTAAAAATCACATTCCACGATCCCAAAGTATTCAAACCTGGTAGCTCTGATACCAAGTTATAACACTCCAAAATAATTACAATAACCCGTCTACTATATTAATAAATGACAACAATGTATAAATATAGTTTTCTAAAATAAGTATCATTTCATTTCATATGATTCCATGATACAAAAGGTAACACATGCTATAGATTCAGGTTTAGAACTTGTGAATGTATAACTGTATGTATTACCTTTTGTATCACGGAATCATATGAAATGAAAGGATACTTATTTCAAAAAACTATATTTATACATTGTTGTCATTTATTAATATGGTGAATGAGTTATTGTAATTATTTCAAGGCGTTACATAAAGTATGGTAAAATATAAAAGTTAAAGTATATAGATGATCCATTCTTGTGTCTTCATACTATTTGTATTAATTTTAATTTATTTAGCTTTACTTTAATAATTAAAACTGTAAAACTTATATTTTTTCAAATCGCGAATGTGAATATAATTTACTAAAAAAAAAAAAAAACTACGAAATATAAGAACCAAACGCCACATTCAAAGAATGACAGAGATACTTCCATACTTTCTTTTGTGTGGAAATTGGGCCAAAGCAATAAAGCTCAAAAAAAGCGTTCTTCGAAAAAGCATTTTCCCAAGGAACCAAACACAGCTAGTGAACTGTTTGAGGAAAACTTGGACTGGGCTCTGTTCCAATCCAACTTTGAAACGCGTAAACGGTGGGAAACCAATAAAAGACCTCCACACACTCCAACCGACAAAAATGAAATTATTCTATTGAGTGTGTACATGGTACATTCCTTTGTTACGATTTTTTTTAGTTTTTTTTTTATTATAATTTATTTTAATTATGATATATTGTGATATTTATAAAATAATTTTAAGAATTTAATTATGATATTTGTAATAATTAAATCTCATAAGTTATATATGGTATAAATTTAAGAATAAATTACACTTTGTCCCTTTTATGTTTGATTACTTTTCCACTTTAGTTCCTAAATTTTATTTTTTTTTTCACTTTGACCCTTTATGTTTCAATTTTTTAATTTATTTTAAAGCTAACTTCTGTTCAAAATTAAACAAAAAATGTCGTAAAAATTATCATATAATATAAAAATATATTATTATATTAAAATTTAAGTTTATGTCAAAGATGTAAGTTATATATAATAAAATACTTTTACACCAAGTGACTATCAATACGTTGTTTTTGTCTAATTTTTAACCGAAATTAATTTTAAAAATAAATTAGAAAAAATTTGAAACACCAAGTATTGAAGCAAAAAAAAAAAAGCAAACCTTAAAGACCAAAGAAAAAAAGTGATCAAATATAAAACGACAAAGTATAATTTATCCTCTATTTAAATACATATATATATCTACAAAGATGTGTACCATAACATTACCCATCTAAAGCATATCTATCTCTCTCTCTCTCAATTAAACCTTCATTTGGCAATGACTTTCTTAATTGACTTTTTGACTTTTTTGACTTTTTTTGACTTTTTTAGCCTAAGATTTTTTTAGTCGTTTGGTATTCTTGTTTGGCTTTTTTGGCTTTTTGACTTTGAAATGGTGTATTTTTTTTTTTGTCTTTTTCCTTATTTTGTCATTTTGTGCTTTTGGTTTTTTTTTTTGCCCTTTTTAGTTTTTTTTTTTTGGAATGGTGTTTTTTTTTTTTTTTTTTTTGTCTTTTTACTTATTTTGTCCTTGTGTGATTTTTTTGATTTTTTTTTATCCTTTCTGCTTTTTTAATCCAAAATGTTTACCAAACATCACCGAAGTCTCTCTCTTTCTCTCTCGATGAATTACACAATCAACAGTACACCCCACCCCCCCCAATCCCCCATTTTACTCCTCACACGTCTTTCTCTCTTTCATAATTTCTCTTGAAAGCATCTTCGACCCCATATTCTACGCCAACATGTCCATTCTCTTCTGTCTCCTCTGCTGACTCCATTTTCTCCACAAATTTCAGTGTCTACCAATGGATGTCCCTTTGACACAACTTCACTATCTCACTCACTGTTTCTCCAACTTTGCTTACAAAGAAATGAGAAATACGCATATGGGTTTATTGCTTTTAATGGGTATTTGAGGTACCCAAAATTTGTTATCTTTGGCACTGCTCAAAACACACTTTGATTTTGTATAGAACAATGTTTAGGCTTGCTAACTCTTTCTGGGTTTTGGCCTACAAGTGCTTGTTTTGTCTTTTTGGGTTTATACTCAGATACATATTCAGGTATTGCTTAATAGAATAATTATCTTTCTAGTTAGTTGATTTTCTAACCTTTTCTTCAATAGATTGGTATTAATTCTCACTTTCTGTTTTTGCAGATTTAAAGAGGATGACAATTCTTTGAAGAATGATTACAATTGTATAGTTGACCATTCTCAGCCTGAAGATCAAACTGTTTCTGGTAGTTCCATGTTTTTGGAGACTGATGGGTCTGCAAAGACAGAGAATTCTGATGGCTTTTTTGAGTTTCGCTTTCAGAATTATTACACAAGAAATGGAGAAACAGAGGTCTCTGTTTTCCAGGAAACTTCACCGATTCCGAACACGAGCAAGTATGAGGTTTTCTCCGGAAAAGATATCAGTGGATTCATGGAGGAGCCTGAAACTATGAGGTTTACAATTCAAGAGATGTTTTTGGATGCCCCAATTGTCAATAAACCAAAACAAGATGCTCTGTTCTCTCCTGTGAAAAAATCCCAAGAACTCCATGTAGAAAAAGACCAAGAAATTTTGGTGGGTTCAAATGATTGTTTCATAGGTAAAGATCAAATGATCAGATCAGTCTCTGCTGATGAAGATTTTCAGGAATTAAATTCAGAAGTAGAGGCTACTATTCTTCAAAAAACAGAGGACTCTATTGAGAAGTTTGATCAGAATCAGTTAGATAAGAGTCATTTCTCACCTTTGGAATCAGAGCCTGAGTCTAGTAGTTCAAGTGAAGGAGTGTCAATTATCAATCACAAAGTTGATTCAGTTGATAATGAATTTTGCTCCGACACTCGTGTGGATGAAGGACTCAAACAACTAGAATTTATTAAGAAAAAATCAAATTCAAAACAAATTAGCATCGATGAGTCGAGTTTATTTGATAGGAAAGCAGTTACTATTAGAAGAGATGAATCAGAAGATAGCGATGATGAGTACATAGATTTCGAGCCCATTTTGCAATTTTCGAGTCACTTGGGTAATAGTTTGTACACAACAGAATTAGAAAGAGTTGAGACCAAACAAAGAAATGAAAATTTACAGAGCCCAGAGACAGAAAAAATAGATAAATTAGGAAAATCTAAAGAACAAAACTCCCAGAAGATGTCATTGGATTCGGATTTTGAAGATGAAGATGATTCTGATATTCTGTTGAAATATCGGGACTTGGTTGAGCAGATGAAATCGGAGATTAAAAATGGGAGGACTAAAGGGCTTCCCACAATCTTGGAGGAATCGGAGACTCTGAAAATGGACGATTTGAAGCCACTGAAAATTGATGCGAAATTGGAGCATAAAGATCGTGTGGAAGAGATTCAGAAGGTGTACAAGAGCTATGCAGAGAAAATGCGAAAATTGGATGTCTTGAATTACCAAACCATGCATGCTATCAGTGAGTTTCCTAACTCCCTCTTCGTCTTTCTTTCTTGTAGTTTTGATTTTGATTTTTCGAAAATTCTGTTTGGTTTTTCTTTTCTTTTTTTCTTGGTAATTTCATAAACAAAACAACTTTTTAAAATAGTGTTGAGTATAAAAATAATAATAAATAAATAAATAACAACGATACAAACAAGTGGCCACCGGAGTTGGTAGTCACGGTGTTGCTAGAGATCAAGAGGTGGCCTATGAGTCTCCGGAAGTCACAGGTTTGACTATCCTATTGACCTAGCCAGCCCAAAGATGGTCGGAGATCTCTGTACAATTGTCGAACAGTTGATAGTGGCTAATGTTGGGAATCGGGGATGCCGTCCAAGACCTTCTAAAAATTATACCAAGCAGAAAAATACACCCACATTCAAGGAGACACCATATTTAACGTGATTCGGCCTCAATGCCTATGTCCACGGGAGAGTAGCCGGTTATCCCTATAACAATGGAGATATTACAGAAAGATTACAATAGAGGAGTAGCTCACACCATCCTCACTCACTCACTCGCCCGTCTCCCTCTCTCACACCTAGAGAGACGGTCTCTCCGCCTCACATCTCTCACCCTTTTTGGTTTGCTCTATCTCACATCTCCATTTGCTCTCTCTTTCTCTATTTATACACTGAGAATGGTGGAGAACTGGCTGGCCTTGCACATGGCCTGCTGTTTTGCTGCATTGGCTTCACATGGAGCACATAGAGAAGAGATCACCCTCACATGGGGTGATAGATATCCAACAAATCACCCCCGCAACCCATGTGAGGTGATCCACTGCAAACACTGTTACTAATCTTGTCATGTCCAAATTGCAGCATAGTCTGCTTCTCCTCATTGAGACGTTTGCACCCCTGAAGCTAAAAATAATACACCAGAGATACAAAAAGGAGGAAGGAATACTATATCCTCAACTCGACTCACACCACTCTCTGATTTGGAGAGAAAGCCTCTACTCCTATCTCCCACAGATCTCTTCCACGCTTCCTGTCTTGGATGCCTTTACTTGTTATGTTTAAACTTGCGTAACCAAGATATTCGACACCCCCTGATTGGATGTCCTGCACCCCTTGCTGGGATGCCCTTGACTGTCATGCATTACCTCGCAGGACCAGTCAATGGAACAATAGAAAACTCATCGTTTATCCCATCATCATCCTCGATTTTCTTTGTTCGAAGCTCTTCTTTCTTAACTATCAGCCTTTGGCCTCTGCACTTCTGAACAACCTCTTAGCGTTTCCACATACCGTCATTGTCTGTGCTTTTGCAATCCCTGATTTGCTGTCCAGTAGATTGATGGTTGACAATAGCTCCATTTGTCAAAGCATCGTCAGCTATGCAATTCCTTGCGTAGTGCTCGCACCCATGGCTTCTAGTCTCCCTGCGTCGAGCTCGCTCGAGAGATCCGTATCAACTCTGTCCTCTGCTACCATGGAACTAAAAAAACCACCATAGAGAAAAAGACTTGACACTCCTTGGCGCGCACTCTTGCGTTTTATCTGTCTTAATTTCTCTGTTTGGAAGTTCCTATGAACTGTCAACAACCCGTTGCTACACACTCTTCTCGCGCCTCTGTACGACACTCTAGCGTACCATTGCACTGTTGTATGTCTGCATTTGTGCTTATGCACTTAGTATGCTCCTCTACAACTATTGTTCTACACGTCCACATACTATCAATACCTACTCGTATACAGTAGCTCCAACAGCCACAGTATTTCCCTCAGTCTGTACTGGTTACCAAATCATCTATCCGTCGATGAATGGTCTTCTCTTCTGATTAAACCAGATCTTCCAATGAACTTCGGAGATAATCATCTCTGCAATCCTCTGACCGCCCCTAACCAATCCTGATCTCTCTTAATTTGCCATTTGATCAAGCCTGATCTCCTTTGGTCTCCAATGATCTATCTCGATCTGTATCTGGTTATCCAATCTGATCAGAAATCTGAATATTCTAACCTCTTCAGTGAATCCGCAGCATTCCACAATATCCGACAACCTTCCTACGGCTATCAAAGATGACAAACTCCCATGTTTTGACAAAATTTAAAAACCGTTCAGAATTTCACTATTCTGACCTTACGGTTGCGTCCGGAACAATATGTTTAGCTAGGGCCAACCTTCCTTGCACTTTCGGGGGCCTCACTGAAAAATATCCCTGAAAGTTGGGCCACACCACAATTTTTTGAAAATTCTGGGCCAAATTGCAATTTTTAGAAGTTCAAGAAATATTCTGTATTCTAATAGAATATTCCATCCATTGCACCTGATGCCGTCTGCCACTTTGATCTTCTTTCATTTTACAGAAATTTTGATTCCAAAATCCGACCGTACGGATGTGTTCGGAATACTCCAAATAGTAAGAAAGCACTATTGGATCGTCAGAAACGGACTCCGAATGACTTAGATCAAGCCAAAACATTTTGGACACCTCAGATCTGCAGCTACACCTTAGCTGCGTAGCACGGGATCACTACTCATGCGGCTGCACCTTAGCCACGAAGCACTAGATTACTCTTTCGTGCAACGACGTGGCAATGACTGGTCTGTAGACGTGGCAGACACGTGGCCGCCCCCCGGCTAACGTGGTGCCACGTGGCGATGACGTGGCGCCACGTGTATCGTCTTTCTCCTCTGCCGCGCGTGTGGCGAGTGTACGCGAGTTGGCAGACGCGCTAGCTGAGTACACGGCGCGGTGGTGGCGCGTGCTGAGACTAGGACTCACGCGCCATCGTCAGTAGGCGCGTGAGGGCGCGTCCTGTGTCTTTTGGGCCTGTGCTTTGCATTTTTGGACTCCTCTCGTCGAGACCTTGCTCCTGGTATGCTCAAAACCTGATTTTGAGCAACTTGATTTCTGGGCAGTTTCGAACAACACACTGTTTTTGTTCCAAAAACGATCGACGAGGCTCTGATACCACTTGTTGGGGATCGGGGATCTTGCCCAAGACCTTCCAGAAATTATACCAAGCAGAAAAACACACCCACATTCAAGGAGACACCATATTTAACGTGGTTCGGCTTTAATGCCTACGTCTACGGGAGAGTAGCCGGTTATCCCTATAACAACGGAGATATTATAGAAAGATTACAATAGAGGAAGAGCTCACACCATCCTCACTCACTCACTCGTCTCCCTCTCTCACACCGAGAGAGACGGTCTCTCCGCCTCACATCTCTCACCCTTTTTGGTTTGCTCTATCTCACATCTCCCTTTGCTCTCTCTTCCTCTATTTATACACTGAGAATGGTGGAGAGCTGGCTAGCCTTGCACATGGCCAGCTGTTTTGCTGCGCTGGCTTTACATGGAGCATATGGAGAAGAGATCACCCTCACATGGGGTGATAGATATCCAATAGCTAATTGACAGTTACTAGTGGTGGCAAGTGGTTAGTGGTCAAAAGTGATAGGGGAAGGAGGAGAAAATAAAAATTAAAATTAAAATTCTATTTTTTGAAAATAAAAATAAATGGTTTGGAATTTTCAAAAACAATTTTATGAGCTTTCAATTTGTATTTCATAAGATCCACTTAATCTTGATAGGGCAAATTACACTTTACCCCTCTCAACTATCACTATATTTCACTTTACCTTCTCATACCAAAAATTAATACATGTATCTTTTCCATTTGTTTTATAACAAAAATAGAGACATGATGTACCTTTTCCGTTTGTTTTGTTAACAAAATGAAGACATGAGGGTTAGATTAAAAATTTTAAAAAAATGAAGAAGATACATTGTATCAATTTTTAATTTGAGGGGTGTAAAGTGTAATTTTTCCATCTTGATATACTTAAAAAGTAGGGTACATTTCACTTACCCCTTATGGTTTGACTCATGTGCGGATTACCCCTCACATTTAAAATAACCACATAGTCCCCTTATGGTTTGTGCACTGAAATGCATCATTAGACCCATTAACGATTTAATGAAAAATGCTATAATACTCGTGTATATAAGTAATCTAAGTGTATAAACGGCAGATATTTTCGTCATTTGTTTGTAAGGCATAGTGTACTTTAACCCATGTGTTTTATTCCATGTGCCATTTGCCTTTCGAAATTTGAAAATTATCATATAACCTCCTTGTGTTGGACACATGTTTCCATTAACTGTTAAATTGTACGAAATGTTTAATGGTGTATTTCAATCTACAAATAACAAGGTGGTTATGTAGTTAATTTTAATGAGAGGGGTAATCCGCAAATGGACAAAAGTACAAGAGGTAAAGTGAAATTTACCTTAAAATTTATAAAATTTGTATAAAAATCTTTTTAAAAAATCATTAAATATAACAAAATATGAAAATGTACTAAATTTTTATATTTTTTGCATTTGGTGAATTTTTTTTTTAATTCATAAATATTAGACTTTTTAAGTATATGTAAATTAGGTATATCTAAAAAATAAATAAATAAATTGTATAAAATATTAAAAAAATTCATTAAATACAAAAAAGATAAAATAAAAAACTTAATTTTTTTGAAAAGTGAGTTAAACCAAATAAGGTAACATACAAGTTTTGGTTTTGAGTTTATGAAAAATGAAAACGAAAAACAAAAATAGTAGCAAACAAGGCCTTATGTTTTCTAAAGGCAAATTATTTTTAGAAGAATTTGGTGAAGAATGAATTGTGTCTTGATTGTTGGAAGTTGCACAGTAGTGACAGTTGTGTGCGGCTTAATTATTTTAGATTTTATTTTTATTATTTGAATTATTTAATTTTTAAAGAATATCGATTAGAACATACTTGTAAAAAATAGAGCTGATCAGATATCGATATACCCTTCATCAACTTACATTTATATTCAATTTAATAGTTATATATTTATTTTTTATACATACAAATTCGAGTTGATGAATGGTCTATCGATATCCGATCAACTTGATTTTTTACAGAGAAAATACTATAGATCCCAAATAAATTACTAAATTTTTTACTAAACTTCTCATGTGGGTGTGGGACTCACACAAATCACATGTGTGTAGGTCCCACACCCATGTAATAGATTTGGTAAAAAATTTAGTAATTTATTTGAGATCCCTAACATAACTCTTTTTATAGGTATATTCTACTTGATGTTCTTTAAAAATAAAACGATTCAAATGATAAAAATAAAGTCTAAAATAAATTTAATAAGCGGTATAACAGTTACTATTGTACAAACTGTACAGTAATAACCCTCACACTGATTTTTTCGTTGGCATATGGAAATGGACCAGTTTCTGGACCTGAAACAAACATACTAGTCAAAAAGAGATTAGCAGAGTTCCATATGTCCTTTGTTTAGAACTTCTCAGTATAATAATCAATTTAATGAATTATTAAATAATAAATAAATAAATAAAATCAATGTGCATACTCACCAATCCAATCTCTTGACTTTCCAAGGTTGTTCAGATTTTTCTCTTTAGTGAAATAGACGATGGCTGTCTAATCTCAAGATGTTGAAGTTTTTGTTTTATTTTATCTATTATTATTTTTTAAAATTTTAATCAAAGAGATCTTTAAGAGCATTACATTGCATGGTGGGTCTGAATCCTCTTTACACCGCCAACATCCCAGTAGCTCTATGTCCATGAATAATGCTGATCCGTCTTAAATTATGACATCTACCTTACATAATAGGAATATTCTATTTATAAATTCATGTTCCTTATTCTAAATATATTTTCAATCATATTATTAAGTGATAATAATTTCAAAATATTAAAATCTTGAAACATTATTATACGACTAAACAACATCTAGGGGTAGAGGTTGGTGTCAATAGTGTTTTAATGTTTTCTAACTTACCTCTAATTGAGCCCCAAGGGTTTGTGGCTTTTGCCTTGGTGAATGAGGCAGGTCTTAAATTTAACTCTCCCCACCAACAAATTTTTAAGATTATAGATGGTAAAGAATAATTATTCATCAAGTTTGTTTAGACTGTGCTATATAAGTATATTTTTTATCTTTTTAAATCATATCATCTCTTTATTTTTTTAAATATTTTTTTATAAAAAATTAAAAAAAAAATATTTATTTAAATCATTTCAAATAACCCTTAAGCCTTGTCAAAATATCAAAAAAAAAAATACTACAAATTATTACATCACTATTTTTATTTTTCATATATTTTTTTATAAAAAAATAATAAAAAATCACCAAAATAATTAATTTCCAAACAACCCTTCCATTCACTTGCACCCATGTAGTTTACATTGGGTTTTGTGGTTGAACAACACGGTCAAGCAACCACACGGACGTACGATGAGGTGATTGAATTTTTAGTAATTTTTTTAATATTTTAACTATTTTTTTATCTTTTAGATACACTTAATCTAGATGTACCTAAAACTTAAATATTTATAAAAAAAATATTTAAAAAAATCAATAAATACACAAGAATACAAAAATATACAAATATCATTTTTTTTTGTATTTTTAATCTTTAGTGAATTTTAAAAATATTTTTTCACTAATATTATATTTTTTAAGTATATTTATATTTGGCATATCTAAAAACTAAAAAACAATTGTTTAAAATATTTTTTTAAAAAAAAAACTCGGTGAAAACACATAAAATAAAAAAAAATACAAAATTTAATTTTCAAAATAGTTCAACTTTTAATTTCTAAAAATTTTGGGATAACCATTCTCTCATCTTCACTATTATACTCAAATCTTTATTAACGTCCTCTTCTAAGTATTAAATTTAGTCCAGTTATTGTTATCCATAAATTCCTGTAACTTCCCACAGGAAAAAAAGGATGGAGTATGTATTTTTCACATTTATTATGACATTTAGTAGAAAAATATATCATCGATTTATCATTATTGACTTAAATTTCAGTGAGTGTGAGCTGCATTTCTATGTTTGCTTCCATTCAAGTAATTCATAGTAATAATACAAGATTTTTTTTAAAAAAAATTATTATTATTTTTTGACAATAAAATTAGTTACTTATCAATTGTGTGATCAAATTAGTTTCACTATTCATTATCAATTATCACAATTGTTAAATTATTAAGCTAATTCTTACAGGATTCACTTTATATGTAGGTTTTCTCCAATTGAAAGATCCAATTCAACAAGCTAATTCAGGCCAAAAATCTTCAGTAATGACATCTTTTCTTTTCCAAAACCTTTGGCCATCCAAGTTAAGAAGAATCTATGCAGACCCAACACTAAAGTCCATTTGTGAATTGCATAGAGACTTGGAATTAGTGTACATTGGACAAGTTTGCCTTTCATGGGAAATCCTCCATTGGCAATATGGGAAAGCAAGAGAGTTTTGGGAAAATGATTTTGAAGTACATGGTCCATATAATCAAGTAGCTGGTGAATTTCAACAATTTCAAGTGCTTGTGCAAAGATTTGTAGAGAACGAGCCATACCAAGGACGACCTAGAGTTCAAAACTATACCAAGGACCGGTATGAGCTCCGTGCCTTTCTTCAAGTTCCGGTTGTCAAAGGTAAATAAATTGGTGACATCCTCACATTTTGCTCTACTGTGTTATGTTATGCAACAAAATTAAGCTCTTCGGAGTTGTTAAATAAAGCATCATTGTATTTGTAGACAATTGTTCGAAGGATAAGAATGATGGAAGAGTTGAGGAAGAAAATGCGGTTTCAATTGCAATGATGACGGAAATTATTGATGAATCGATGCGTGCTTTTTGGGAATTTGTTCGTGCTGATAAAGATGAGGCAAATACGAGTTTGAAGGGTCTTCAAGACCCTTCATGTTTTGAGCTTCTAATGGATGTCAAAACAAGTCTTCAAAAGGTTTGCTTTCTCAATAACTTGAAAATTCTTTTTTTTTTTCTTTTCTTGTTGCTTTGGTTTACACGGTTTGACATTAATATATATATATATATATTAATTTTGTTGTCACACAGAAGGAGAGGAGGCTCAAGGAGATATTGAGAAGTGGAAATTGCATAGTAAAGAAATTCCAAAAAGATCAAGAATGTAGAATGGATAGATCATCGTTATTTGCTCAAGTTGAGTTGAAATTGGTGTCAAGAGTGCTAAACATGTCGAGACTAACAACAGATCAGCTAGTATGGTGTCAAAATAAACTAAATAGGATTAGCTTCATCAATAAAAAAATTCATGTAGAACCTTCATTTTTGCTTTTTCCATTTTGAGGTTTTGAAATGTTGCCACTATGCCACTTTTATTTCCTATAGATCTATATGTTTTAAAATGGTAGATTAATGTTCTCCAAAAATGAAAAAATTATAGTAATGTCATTGTACAGAGTCGGTTGTTACGACAATTCTATAGTTTTGTCTATACTAGAATGGCTTTTCGCTTGTGAATGATTTGTTGCAAATTCGTTGGGCCTTGATTTATCTGATTTTGAACACTAGGGGACTATTGGGCGACTCGTGAATGCTTACCTCTTAGGGTCGTTTGTTTTCAAAGGGAGGTTAGATGAAATTATTAGTGTGAAGATTGTTAGTGATAGAATTAAAAAAAATTGTGTTTGTTTAATGACCATCGAACTAGTAAGAATTCATATTTGTTTCGTCCTTCTATAATGGGATTAACTCTATGAAATTTTATAAAACCCTTGGTATATGTTGATATATTTTAATATTAAAAATTACATTTCATAAATTTTTGGTACTATATTATTTTAATATGTTATTTTTTTGGTGTTATTTTATTATTATACTATTATATTTTAATATTAAAAATTATTATACTATGAATTTTATTTTAATTCAGACTCTGCAGAAAAAGGTATGACCATAATTTTTCATCCGCTGCGTTTTACCTTTGATTTACATTGGTATCAGAGCGTGAATGGGTATTTTCGTGTTTTCTTTAATCATGTGTATATTTATATATATATATAGACATTATATTCATGAATGTTTATAAAAGAGGAAAATGTCTACTCTCATTAAATTAAGAGCATAAATACCTATTTTTTATGTTTATTAATGTCTTTTTTAATACCATAAATGGTTTTATTTTGAAAAATGGAGTCTGGCAGCACAAAAATTGGACCAAAAAACACCCTGGAAGGCGGCGCGTGGTCCGCACGCGCCACCTAACGCCATGAGCCGCTACCACGCGCTTCTACGCGCTTCCACGCGCCTCTACGTGCCATCACGCGCGCGCCGTCCGCGTGCTGAGCCGCTCGCGCCGTGCGCTGAGCAGCTCGATTGAGCCGCGCGCTGAGCCGTGCCGTTTTCCTCCGCCGGCTTGGCTAGCTTGGCTGCTAATGCATAAGGCACTGTTTGTTTTGTTTTTTAATTCTGAATCGCGTTAAATGGTTATAATTAATTCATTATGGATTTGTTTTATGCATGGTTAGTACTGTTAGACTCAGAATTAATTTTTCTATATTCTGTAAAATTTTGAAAATTTTACAAAAATAAAAAATATTTTTTCTGTGTTAATAATTCATGTTTTATGCTTTAAAATGCTTCTGGTATTGCAAAAATAATTTTATGGGGTTGAAATTTTTATTGTAGACTTCTGAAAAGTTTTACTATTTACTAGTATTATTGTTTCAGTTTATCAGTTTCTGGATTTTTTATTTCTAATTTTAATGTGTGTTTATTAGTTATTTAAAATTTCAGAAAATTTCAGAATAATTACATTTTATTATGGCATAATCTGAATATTGTATACAACATATTTTTTGGGTTTGTAATATGTTGCAATTAAAGAAGCATGATTAGTTTTTTATTTATTTATTTGAATTCCATTATTAAATGAATATAGCATGAGTTATTTGTAAATTTACATTAAGATGTTATTGTATGGAATTTATCATGCTTTGTATATGCCATAAGTAGTGGGAGAATTTTTTTTTGCGCATGGAATTAAATTAATTTTTGATAATTATCACTAGAGGCGCAAGAGATGATTACAAGCATAGCAAATTTTCGATCTTGAGACATGTGTAAAATTATCATTATTTAATTTAGATTCTTTTGCTACAAAATAATTTTTTGTGTTGCTATCATTAATATCCCCTGTGCATTTTGTTTACTCTGTATGTAGAAATGGCTGCTAAGAGAGTGGTGGCAGACTTAACTAAATGAGAGAAATTGGATGGCGACAATTATGATATATGGCGTCGTAAAATCCAATACCTCCTCAATGAGCAAGAAGTGTTGACCACACTTGAACAAGTGATGGTTGAGCCAGACCAGGGCAATACAGCTCAACATCGTCGTGATCTTGAAGCCTTTCAGACTTGGTGTAACAAAGATCGGTGTGCGCGCTTTACTATGTTGAGCAGCATGCACAACGACTTGATTAGTGAGTTTGAGCATTGCCTGACTGCATTTGAGACGTGGGAAGCTCGTAAGCAAAAGTTTGGTATTACCTCTTTGGCAAAGCTACGTGGGCTGACTATGAAGTTTGACTCATATCAGAAAAGGGCGCATCACTCGATGAAGCAGGATTTGAGGATCATGTCAGCCATGATACGTGAGCTTGCGGCTGCTGGGCACAATTTGACTCAAGAGCAGCAAGTACAAGCTGTGATTCGCTCTCTGCCAAATTCTTGGGAGCAGATGAAGCAAAACATAATGCATAATGAGAGTGTGAAAACATTCGAAGACATGCCGCGTCATTTGGAACTAGAGGCTGAGCACCTTGAGGCGGCTAAGTCTGATGGTTCTGCTATAGTGGTTGAGTCAAGCTCACGTAGGACTTCTCAGTTCAAACGTGGAAAAGAAAAAGATGCCCCTAAGAAGCAAGCAGCAGCTGCGCTTAAGCCCAATGGCGCTAGAAATTTCAAGCGTAGGGGCAAGAGAGGTGGTAAGAAGGTAAAGGCTAAATTGACATGCTTTAATTGTAACAAAGAAGAACACTTCGCTCGAGATTGCCCTGAACAGAAGAAGGTACTCATTTACTTAATTTCTCGCGTTCAATGCTTTGTGTCTAGTCAAGCATTAATTACTCATTCTCCTCATTTTTGGGTTGTAGACTCCGGAGCAACAAACCACATCGCGAGGGACAGAGTAGGGTTCGTTGAGTATCGCCGAGTACCTGCTGGGAGTAGAAAAGTTTACATAGGGAACGAGTCCAGTGTGGAGGTGCTTGGCATTGGCACATACAAGCTGGAAATGCGACGAGGGCGCACCTTGTATCTTCATGATGTTCTTTATGCTTCGGATATTCGGAGAAACTTAGTTTCAGTTATTAGCATGATGAGCCTTAGTTTTAGCTTTTGTTTTGAGAATAATGGTGTTAGCATTTATTTGGGAACAATTTTTTATGGTTTTGGTTATCTTTCAGATGGTTTTTTAGTTTTGGATGTGGATGATTCTAGTCTTAATAAAAATGCCAATGGCTCTGTTTCTAATATTGCATCTTTTTGTGATAATGATTCTATGAGATGGCATGCTAGATTAGGCCACATAGGGCAAGACAGGCTGACTAGATTGGCTAGAGAAAGTCTTTTAGGCCCACTCGCTAGAGTCACTTTGCTTACTTGTGAGCACTGTCTTGCTGGTAAGGCAACAAGGAAACCATTTGGGAAAGCCATAAGGGCATCAGTCCCATTGCAACTTATTCATTCTGATATATGTGGACCAATGAATGTGAGGGCAACGCATGGAGCCCCTTATTTCATCACATTTATAGATGATTGCACGCGTTTTGGTCATGTCTATTTGATTTCTCACAAGTCAGAAGCATTGGATTGCTTTAGATGGTATGTTAATGAGGCTGAGAATCAATTAGACAAGAGCATTAAGACTCTAAGGACTGACCGAGGACGTAAGTATCTATTTGAGCAGTTTAAAGTGCTCTGTGAGGAAAAAGGAGTCATCAGGTAATTAACAATTCCTAGGACTCCGCAGTAAAATGGTGTAGTGGAGAGAAGGAATCGTACATTGCTTGACATGGTTAGATCAATGATGGCGCAAGCTAATCTTCCCATTTCTTATTGGGGAGATGCTTTGTTGACTGCTGCCTACGTCCTTAACCATGTGCCCTCCAAATTAGTTCCTTCCACCCCATATGAGATGTGGACTGGCAAAAAGCCTAATTTGGGCAATTTGCGGCCTTAGGGTTCGGCAGCTTACATACATAACGCTTCTCATAAGTTTGGGAAGTTGGGCCCTAGAGGAAAGAAGTGTATCTTCATTCGCTATAGTGAGCATTCTAAGGGCTATGTGTTTGTTGGGGAGCATCCGGATGGAAATGTGATTGAAATTGAGTCACGAGATGTGGATTTCCTAGAGAAGGATTTCCGTAGCAGAGGTGAGGTAACTAGAGAAGTAGAACTCTATGAGATGGAGGATCTACTTGAAGGCGCACCTAGTAGCCTAGTAGAAAATGAGGAGATAATTCCTCAAGCTCCTAGGGACAGTGGGAGCGATCTACCTACCCATGGATTAGATCCAATGGATGAGGATTCTCAGGATTCTCAACTACGTAGAAGCAAACGTGGAGCTATACCCCGTCGTCGTTTTGAGATTGAAGGGGAAGCATTCATGATTGCTCCGAGTGATGAGATGGAGCCTAAGAATCTCAAAGAGGCTTTCTCATCCCCTGCTAGTAAAGAATAGAGTACTGCAATAGATGAAGAAATAGAGTCTATGAAGAAAAATCATGTCTGGGACTTGGTTGATTTGCCGCCAGGGCGCAAGACTATTGGGAGCAAATGGGTTCTCAAAATCAAGCGCAAGGCGGATGGTTCCATAGAAAGGTATAAGGCTCGCCTAGTGGCGAAAGGTTACACCCAACGAGAGGGTGTGGACTATGAGGAAACTTTTTCACCAGTTGTAAGGTTTGTCTCTATTCACCTAATCCTGGCCATAGTAGCTCAGTTGGACTTAGAGCTATATCAGATGGACGTTAAGACTGCATTTCTCAATGGAGAATTGGATGAAGAGATCTATATGGATCAACCAGAAGGCTTTGTGGCAGTAGTTCAGGAGCGCAAAGTTTGCAAGCTTCAACGATCTATTTATGGCTTAAAGCAATCATCCAGACAGTGGAATCTGAGATTTCATCGAGCCATTGTTTCTAATGGGTTTACGATGATTGATGAAGATCACTGTGTGTACGTTAAGCGGTCCAAGGACATTTTTCTGATATTGTCACTATATGTAGATGACATATTATTGGCTGGAAATGACAAGGAAATGATTGTCGCCACTAAAATGTAGTTGTTCTCTACATTTGAGATGAAGGACATAGATGAGGCAAGCTATGTGCTCGGTGTTAAGATCCTTAAAGATCGCTCTAGGAGACTTCTTAGTTTGTCTCAAGAGACTTACATTAAGACTATCCTAGAGCAATTTCAGATACAGAGCTGCAA